GCTCCCTGCCCAGCTCCCTGCCCAGCTCCCTGCCCTGCCTCTTGCTTCATTGTGTTTTCTGCCACAGTGCGTGATGCAGCCTGTGCGCCTGTGGGATGAAGCCCTGTGCGGAGGGGGATCCCTGCACGGCCAGGTGTGGGTGGTGCAGCCTGCTGCCCCCTCGGCACAGCGCCCAGGGCCCCGGTGGAGGGTGGGCTCGGGGGTACTGAGATGGTGCTCTTGTGTTGCTGTGTGCTGTGGTGTGACATGTGGAACAAGGGCCGCTTCTGCCTCAGCTGACCCTGCTGGAGTCCTGTTTGCATCTGGAAGAACAATCTTTGTTTTCCTTTCTTGTTTCAGGCGGAAAAGGCGTAACTTCAGTAAACAAGCCACAGAAATCTTGAATGAGTATTTTTACTCTCACCTCAGTAACCCCTACCCCAGTGAAGAAGCCAAAGAAGAGCTGGCAAAGAAATGCAGCATCACAGTATCGCAGGTAAGCAGCGGGGGGGGAGCGGGTCCCGTGCCTCCGTGCCCCCGGCAGTGTGTCGACCTCCTCGCTCCCCTTGCAGGACTGCCGTCTCCCTCTGGGTGCTGGGACACGCTTCCAACGGAGGCGTGCGATACGGAGAAGGTCCCTGCCCAATGCACCTCTGTAATCCCTTGAAATGTAAATTATTGACCGTGATAAAAGTCAGCAGGATGATGGAACGTGACTAAGCTCCGCAGGAAAGGCAGCATGCCTGTGGGTGGCTGGGGTTGTGCTGGAGTAAAAAGTGTGCGCGTACAAAGATGAAGATAGAAATAAAAAGGCTATAAGGTTAGCACTCTACTTCGCATCAGCTTTCTCTTTGCGCACTCAGTAAGATTCCTTGCTGAGCCTTACTGTCTGTTATGAATTCATTACAACTTACCGTTATTTCAGGGGAAGGACAGTTTATTGACAAACATATAATCTATTTCTATAGATCAGAATTTCTTTGATTGCTTGAAGTTGTTTTTCTAAGCCAGCCAGAAATTCAGCCTCTCTATATACTGAAGTGACATGAATGGTTTCTCTGTAGCAAAAATGTATTAGGCAGTTTTGCTCCTTTTATCACATATAACAGATGTTACTGTGAAGTTAATATAAAAGACCCAGCATCTTCCTAATCAGAAATGTACACTCTCATTGGCTACGGCTACTTTCTGTATAGGCCAGAGTACATTTACAACTCTGGACCAGTGTCTCACAGCGATGTTCAGGCTGATGACCCTGCTCCATCAAGCTGTTCTTCACCTTTCCTTCACCAGATAGCTTAAAAAGCAAAACAACACTTTGCGTTTCTTGTGGCCTGTATGTTTGATAGAAAACTGAGTTATTCCCACAGCAGATCTGGCTCAAGCAGCTTGGGAAAGGTTGCACTTGGGTGGCGGGGAAAGCTCGCCGGCAGTTGCCAAGCTCTGTAGCCACCCCGTTGCCCATCGCGAGGGCCAGCGTGCCGTCTCCTCCCAGCTCCATCAGCTCCGCTTATCAATATTTCAGGTCCTTTAGAGGAACAATGCCTGCGGCAAATGTGTTAACTATTAATGATTGCAGGCTGCAGTATTGGCATTATTAGCAATGCAACCTTTAGCTTTATAATTAAGACCTGAGTTGAGATTTACTTTATAGGTCTCCCTTGAATGCATGAAAAATTCAGGCACTTGATTGAAGACTTTAAAATGAAGGGCTGTCCAGCTCCCCCAAATTTGATATTACTTAATTGACTTTGGATGCACCCTCAACACGAACCCCAGCAAACTGCCCTATGACACGAGAGGCCAGTGGAGCCACGTGTCTGCCTTGCTCGTTCCTCGGCATGCAGCACATGCTGCGCTCTGAGCGGGATGGGAAGTGCGTGTGCCGGGGGAAGGTAAGGGATGGAGGTGGGGACAGCTTCTCCCAGTCCACTTACAAGTGGCTGTGGTGATGGGGAGGAATTTTTGGGGGAAATGCAGTGCCAAACTCGTTTCCTCTTGAATTGCTCCTTCATCGGTCTTAGCATCACACAAACAACTGCAGAGCACACGAATACCTGGGCACCTTGGTCTGCAGCCCTACGTCTCGCTGCTGATTTCTGTCCTCTTGGCACAAGATGGTTTATAGCAATTCCTCCAGTCAGTCATGTCCAAAAATCTTCCCGCATGAGCCGAGGCAGCCTGCTGTGTAGTCAGGAGAGACAACGCCATCAACACCAAACTAAAAATTCTCTAGCTCTGCTGGCAAAATGCAATTGGGAGAGATTACATGGTAGAGAGCACAACAGACCTGCTGAAGAGATGTTTTCTGTCTGCCCAGCGGACAGTGAATTGTGCCTGGCAGAGAAGGAGTTAGTGATCCTGCAGAGTGGACAGATAAAAAGCTAGATCTAGATAAGGCTGAAGTGACTGAAGGAAATGAGATGGAACATTTGAGAAACCATAACTGATTGCTTCTAGTGCTAATAGATCTGATTTCTTTCTTAATTGTTTGTTTGATAAGATTTAATGTATATGTTGTAGAATGAAATAAAAGGCAAGCAGATGGTCCAAAAACGTAGCAGCAGCAGTGAGCTTGTGACATGAATATAGGTTTGTCTCTTTAATATTTGATACGAGCATGAATTAGTTGTTTCTTGAATCCATTAGGAAGTCTGGGTGAGCGATGGGAGTAGCTGCGCCGAGTCCTCCGGAGCACCACGTACAGCAGCCCGAGCTTTGCAGGGTGACACTTTGCAGCCTGGAGCAAGGGCAGTTCTGACCACACAGCTCAGGCACAAGCTGCCAGAGAGGCAGGTGTGGGGCCACGGCCGGGGCTTCGCTCTGACAAGATGATATAAACGGCTAGGAAGAGCTCCGGATGATGGGGAAGCCTGAAAACGGGGCAATGCATCATCTAATGGGAGAGAAGCATGTACGTGAGAGAGGGAGTGCCTGTGATCAGCTGGTTGCTTAAGTTCCTGATAGATCTGCTGTCACAGATAGAAAATGTGAATACTATGGATATCCTAATCTTTGATTGTCAAAGGCACTTCCAAAGGCCGCATGGTGGGACTGTAGGGCTAGTTGGTATTTGCTAGGTCAAACTGGGCTAGAGTTGTGTTTCTTTGTACGGAAAAATGTGTGTATTTTTGAGGCCATCTAGCAGAAAAGCTCTGAGCAAGCACTGTAAAATTGCTCAGTGCATGCTGCTCTGGTGGCTGGCAGCAGAAGTCGGAGGATGCAATCCAGAAATCAGGGGTGAATTGAGCAGTCATTTAAAATACTGGCAGGAGTAGCATCGCATGGGATAAGCAATGGCATCCAAGCGAGTGACTGAGCTACACCTTGCGCAGGGCTTTTCCGAAAAATCTCTGAGCGCGCATATTTCCAGCCTCGACCAGGCATCCCCCGGACATCACCCTGCCTGGTGCCGTGCCCTATTCACCTCCCGTGCTACAAACGCCCCGGAGGTGCAAAGAGCTGGAAAATGAAAAAAAAATAATGTTAAGAGTTGGCTTTGCAAACTCCTGGAGGTTGTGGTTCCTGTTTGATGGAGAGGCTTTATTCTTTTTCTGGCTGAGCCAGGCTTCCCCTGTAGCCTCTCCTAAGGATGATCCAAGGTGTTTCTTTCTTGTACTGTCAGTGCCTTGTAAATGCTGGGGGCAGATTCATGGCAGAACGTTTTCTCCCTCAAACACTTAATTAGTGAGTGTTTTGGGTCGTCCTCCCCCCAGATTAAGCAGCTCACTGGAAATCTTGCTGCCATAGCACTTTACCGAGCTGCAAAGAAAATTGTCTCCCAGAATTATTTAGTTGCAGATGGGAGATAGATGGTTTCAGTTTTGATATCGGTGTTTAAAATAATATGTAGAGAAGGTTTTTAAAGAAAAGCATAAAGACAAACTATTTATTAAGATGAACACCTTGCACAATTTCATTTTTAAGAGTACGGAAAAGGTAATTCTAGGGGAAAAAAATGTCCTTAGCAGAGAACATCGTCGGCTGTAATTTAGAGCTACCCGATCAGCACGTGTTCGAGGGAGATAAACTGTATCATCTGTTCTCCCCTTACCATGGCTGCGAGGCTGATGTTTTATACTTTTGCAGATGAGCCTCTTTCAGGGTGTCATGAACAGCTATCAGTCTATCATATGGGCTATAGAAAGGGCATAGTCATTGCTGAAAGCGTGTCAGTGGATTACAGCAATAAAATTTTTCACTGCTTCAAACAAAAGAAGGATGTGGTTGACAAGGGAATATATTTAAAATTCTTTTAAGGAAAGAATGCAGAAGCTGGTTTTCAACACCTCTCCTGCCCCTGCTCCTTCTGAGTCTGCTTGTGTCTGTAAGCAGATTGACAGGGAGAGCTATGGATGTGTAGGCTCTTACCCCTTGACTTTATATGGGAAACAAGGAAAGCAAAAAAAAAATGCAAGCTTAATTAAATAGTTTCTAGAGGTAAAATTCTTACTTTTAGATCATGTACCATAATTGTGCCACATTGATTTTTTTTTTTTCAAAATTTTCTATTTTGTGCCATTTGATTAGGTGTGGAACATAAATCGTGTGCTACAAACGCATGGAAACACAATGGAAAAATTTCCGTGATCCATAAATAGGTAGTTCACTAATTTCAGCAGTGATGCTCCTGTGTCAGCTGCGTCTTTTGCAAAACGAGCACTGATTTATCCCATGAAATCAGCCAGTGCAGAGACACAAGGCAGGCCTGCCCCATCCCAAATCCCACATTAGGCATCTTGATGATTTAAGTAATAATTTATTGTCTTTTTATTTAACATTGCAATTAACATGATAAATAAGAGCAACAGTATTGTTTGAAATGTAATATACAATTAAGCCCAATTAATTAATTGGCCTTCAATAATCAGGAGGAGAAAGATGTTCATAGTTTTTTTTATGTGAAGAGATAGTTTGTTTTAATGAAGAATGTGTTGTGAAGCAGCTCGTGATGGAGGCAACTTTCATTTTTTGGGTGAGCGCGGGGCTGGGCGAGGAGCCAGGGCACTGTGGCTCCTCCTGGTCCTGTTGCTGACTGCTGGGGCAGCCCAGCACCTGCGTCCCGGCCCTTCCCTGGGACATGCTGGTGCCAGCAGCAAGGGCTGGGTGAGGTGTGCTCCAGGCGGGCAGGGGAAGCTGTGGGCAGCCAGCACAGCCCCACGGCAAAAAATGCCGTGGTGGTAAATCCTGCCTGGCACAGCCTCTGCTCAAGGGGTGCCCTGGCCCCATCCTGGACATGTCCAGCTGCCCGTGTCGGCGGTGCACGCCTGGCCGGAGCCCCTGATGTCCTCGGGCCATGGCACGCTCTGCTGCAGCCCCTCACAGATGTTTCATGGGAGAGCGAAGAGTTCTTCGGCCAGGAGGCATAGGGACCTGGGTGGTGGTGGCATTACCCCAGAGGGACGCTGTGGTGTCTTGGGGCAGCCGCAGCAGCCCCGGATGCCGCGCTCCGCTGGTGCACAGGGCGTGCGCTTTAATCTCAGAAATAGTTTAACATTTCTGGATATTCATTTAGATGTGGTAAGCGGGTTAAACATAACGTACGATCGCTGCTCCTCTCATTGCTTCCAATTAAACCTTGCTTGTTAGTTTAACCTCTAGGTAATCCCATCAAACAATTGATGTCAAGGAAACACTGCCCACAGTGGCTCTGGATGAGTGGCCATTAATTTTAATTGCCTTGATATTAAAGATTAAGAAGTATTGGGACTAGCAGAATGGAAACGATCTGATGTCAAGCAAATCCACTCGTTGAGGCTTCCCCAGGCTGCTGGTGATATTAAAATTTTACTGTGAGAATTAAATAAACCTTTATTAGTGATGGCTGTTGTTTGATTGGTCCAGGGGCGTGCATAAACAGAGGGGTCTCGCGCACATCCGTGGACAATACAGTCGATGTACAGAGATTCCTCAATTATGAAACTGTTAATAAAGCATAATCTGATTGTCCACAATAATTATTTGCTAGGTTTCATTAATGTATTATTGCTTCTCTGACTGACAAGGTAATATTAAGTGCAATATATAGAATACAGTGGAGTATTATCTAGGGAACAGAATGTATAAGGTACCTTTAGTATTACTGTTAAAAGCTAGAGGCTTTTCATTAATTGTGTTTAAACAAAAGCTATAGCTACATAAAATACAGCAGAATTTGGCTCCTCCCTGCAGCGGGGAGCCTTACCGGGTGCCACGGGGGAGCACAGGATGTGAGAGGTGCTGCAGAGCTGCTGCAGCTCGTGGAGGCCCTGGGGAGTGCGGGACCCCAGCCCCTGCCCTGCTGGGTGCCCTGCTGCAGGGATGGCCAATAACCACTGGCCTTATTACCTCTCCTTTACCTCTATGTTGTTGCAGATGCTTTTTTTGTCTCAGCAGTGTTGGCCATCGTCCATGTTACAAACTGGGTGTGTTATTTAGGAGCTCTGTTACAGCAGCTGAAGTTAAACAAAGCCACTGAGAAAGATTGTACGAACTTTTCTGAGCGGCTCCAACCGTGACCTCTGCACGGGTTAATAGTTGGTGCCCTGTGAGCCATCTTGGCTTCAGTACAGTATCTTCAAAGGGAGATGACAAAGTGACTTTTCAGCCATTATTGATTTATATGATTTCTTTCATTTTCAACGGACCAAACACGATTCTATGAGTGGGCTGCCAAGGTTGTTCCAGCCCAAAAATAAAGAACAATTGCTCTCGCTGCCTGCTTGCCCTCACTCAACCAGACCTTGGTCCCCCTTCAGCAGCTTTTGGGGTCTTGCACTGATTTGGTTGACAAATGGCTCATAGGAGTAGGAGACAATGCTGTACTAAATGCTACAGCAAGCTCCAGGATATGTGTCGTCATCAAAGAGTCATCCCTTGTGCATCAGTTTGCCAACAGAGAAGCAGAGGCAGATCATGCTTATATCCATAGTAATATTTAACTGATCCTCAGTTACTGATTAGTTAACTGGAGTATCCAGCAGATTGGGGTTGGGGGCTGGGGCACGTGTATTTTCTGGACCAAACACGACATCTCGAAGGGATCACGCTTTGCCAGGTCAAGTGCTTTGTGTCCTTCACCCTTCCCACCTCTCTCCACTGCAGGTGTCCAACTGGTTTGGCAATAAGAGAATCAGGTACAAGAAGAACATTGGGAAGTTCCAGGAAGAAGCCAATCTCTACGCAGCAAAGACGGCTGTTACTGCAGCGCACGCCGTGGCCGCGGCCGTCCAGAACAACCAGACAAACTCCCCCACCACACCAAACTCTGGTACGTACCCGGCTCGTGCGTTAAAGCATCCGAAGGGCAGTCCGTAAAGCAAGACCCTTGATGGCGCCCTAGTGAGTTTGGTTGGGCTGAGAAGGCTGCAGCTCCCTCGCAGACCTGCTTGTGGCATGGGGAGTGGTACCAAGCCCGTGGACCTCCAGGCTGGACCACTGCGAGGGCTGAGCACTGCCGTAGGTGGTCCCAGCGGCTTCGCCAGCGAAGCCCCCGCAGCCTTACGGGGGAAGCCGAGTGGGACCCACATAATTCCCACAGCGGTAATGTCTGCCTGGCTCGGGCTTCTGGCATCTTCTTTGTTTCCGTAGATATTTTAAACTTTTCCTCATTCAATGAAAATAACATAAAATGAGGCAGAGCTCCAAGTCTGGTTTTGTAAAGCTGTTGAATTTATTGTCAAGATAAGAACAAAATAGAAGAATATTTTAGCATCCACTAATTAGACTTTAAACTCTGGGTTGCTTGAAATGGAGTTGGTATTATATATAGAAATCTAAGCGTGCAACTTTTTATTTTGGAGTTGCTCTACCACATGTTCTTCTGCAGTATTTAAAAATTGTCTCGCTAGTGTGTTGTTGACATTTTGCAAATCTTAGCATTAAATTAGTAGGGCAGTTTGTAAAGAAGCAGTCGCTTTTTTGGGCTCCAGAGGTAAAGGTTTCCACGAAGCACAGATGTGTTTGACGCTATTTACAGGGAAGTTTTGCTGTGACTTAGTGGTAGACAACTTTTAAAGGGTATAAAGATCCATGGGGGAAAAAAAAACTTTAATCAAAGAAAGTAGGAAAAAGGTTCCTCCTCTTGGTAATAAATCGGCTAATTAGAAATTACCAACCATTTCCTTTTGAAGGAGACATTAAGCACAGACTCAAAATGAGTTTTTCTCTGAGTGTTTGGTGATAGCATCTCACGATGAAGCGATCCACCGGAGGAAAGCTCTCGACATGAAAACCTGTTGTGCAGGCTGCTCTTCCAGAGGGAGAAGCTGACCCAGGTCGCACGGGGTTTCCAGGCGTTCCCAGCATCGCGCTGCTGGGCTGCAGCCGGTGTGGTGCC